TATATTTTATATTTATTTTGTTATAAATCTATATATGCTATAATAGATATCTTTTAATTTTTTATAAATATATATTTTTATATTTGTATAGAAAAACACAAGACAGTATAATGAAAAATATAATGGCATTCTGAAATGGCATTGATAAAACGAAATTGTTAAAATGAAATTGTTCGACGGTTTAACGAGATAAAAATAATTTGTACAATTTCGTTTACTTTGATGATTTATGCATTGTTGATTAAAAAGTAATTGAATTGTTTGTAATTGATTAATTACAAACTAATTTATTTTGTATATTGTATAATATGAATACAACATACAAAATTACAAGTAAATAATATACAAACTTAGCCTAAATACATAAACTATAAAGGCGCAGAAAGTGCTTTCATTGCAGCTTTAATTTCATCATAGAGTTCCTTGTAGTCGGGATGTTCCTTGACGAGTACCATAAGACTGCCACGTTTCATATTCATCGCTGCACCAATATCCATTCTCGATGGAGTGAAACAATAAGGAATGTTTTTGTCTTCACATACAATTGGTAAGTGGCACATAATATCTATAGGGTATACATCTCCAGCAAAGACAACCAAACTAAAACAAAAAATTGTGTAATGCCTCAATGAATAATTCAATATTTAATAGAGGAAATAAAACTTACCCGGTTTCACCTTTACGAAGATGTTTTTGTACGTCTTTTAAACCATTACGCAAATAAGTTTTATGTTTAGATGCTAAAATAGTTAAAAATTGTTCGCATATAATTGCTGTATGCTTAAATATCTTAACTAAAGATATATTTCGTAGAATTAATAACTTACTTAAATACTATTATTGTATATATATTATAAACTATACATTATAAAGTTACTGTTGTAAAAAATATTAGTGTTATTAAATAACTAAAAGTAACTCACCTTTCTTTATACATTTATAAATCTTTTTGGTTAACTTCTTCGATGCCATGGGTTTGGAAATAGCATTCACAAATCGTAGCTTTTCCTCATAACTAATTTCTGGAGCATCGACATTTTCATCCTTTACCACACTATCATCGATTTCCATTTTCATAGTTTCCTGCATGTTTTGATAATATTTTTAATTTCACGAGAGAATAATGCACGTGCTCAAACACACTATTGTGAACAACTGTAATGCATCCAATAGCCGTCGCCATATTGAGAGTTAGAGTACACTAACTACCTCTGTATTAAGAGACAAGAATTACTAAAACAGCGTACTGGTAAATTATCATCTCTCTGTATCATAAGATAACTTTAGTATTTTCACCGACGAGATAACTATTAAAGACCGTCAACCCTGGGCAAATTTTCGGCGATATAAAAAGGGCTCCAAGGGCCCGGTAATTGAATAATGCTGACATTATTGATAATTGATATAAATTTGCTATTGTTAACATAAATATTTGGCTTATGCATTATTAAATTCATGATTTTTTATTACATAAATGTTTCATAAATAAATATGCATATTTGTAAAGCTATAATATTTTATATATTGCAGAAAAATTACAATTTTTTTTCTGCAGTTATCATCTCTGTTGATAATCAAACTTTGATGGTAGCACTGAAATTACAATTTTAAAGAAAAATCGAGTATTATTGAGTTTTAAATGCATAAATATGTCCACTAAATTAATAAATTATAAAATTAGTACAATATTTTCAGATTTTAACTCTTAATTTCTTCAATATTTACAAGGACGCCAACTTCCGTAAGGATATCTCTCAGTCTTTCTAATAGTATCTCGGTAGTATTTTTAATAATTATCAGGGTTGGTAAGTTAATGTTTTTTTTTAAACTAAATTAAGTTAAAATTAATGGCTTATAAAATTAATGTATTTAAAATTAATTAAGTTAAAAGCCATTAACTTCTTAATTTTTTTTTAACGTTTTAACTATAGTTATTAATCCTGATAATTATACATTATATTATAATCAGAGAGAAACCTGAGAGAAGATGTGACTTTTTTCTGTAACCTCGAACATTATTGCAACGTTATTGAAATGTTTCAAAACGTTTCTTGTTTACTAGGAATCTGTAGAGACCTTTCATCACTCCCGCCAACTTTAATAGTGATTTTCTTTTTCTCAGCAAACACCAATAAGTTACATATAACAATTAATATAACATACATAATATATTATAGTTATATTCTTATGGTAAATTGTGTAACTAATTATAAGAGATACGTTACCTGTAACTTGAGATTTGCTGGATTTGAATGTCCTTATTAATTACATACGAATTTAATATTTTCATGCAACGTATTTATTTGATACCAAAATAAAAAGAACATAAAGAAAGAATTATAATATACAAAGGAATCATTAAACAATACAATATAATAAAATATAATACAACACAAAATAGACTTAAATTTTTTTAATGTAAAATATAAAATACATAAATTGTTTATACATTTTTATATTTTTGCTTATATGTACCCAGACAGCACACAATATTTATAAAATATTTACAAAATATTTATAAATATTTATAAGATTTATTCTAAATATTCTGTAAATATTTTTGTGGTCTTGCACAGATCATAAATATTTATCAGAAATATTATAAAATATTTATTATAAATGTTATAGTAAATGCTATGAAAATACTTAATAAGATATTATAATTCAAGTAAAAAATATAAGAAATATTTATTTATATTTATGTAAAAATAACATAAAATATTTAGTTCACATTTTAATAATATTTCGAGTATAAAGCTTTATATAAAATATATATGAAATATCTACATAACATTTCAAAAAATTAATATATTAATAAATATTTATCATAAATATTCTGTGCTGGGTAATAAATAAATATAAATAAGATATCTCATATACAAAATGCATGCATATTATAACACAAAATTCGTGTACATTTCAAGAAAATTCGAATTCTGATTTTGTACAATAATAACAATCTTTACGTTTTTATTTAATAAATTTTTTAATGATATAAATGTTTATTAATGAGTCTTTAAACGAAAATTTCGATTTTGCATCTATTGTGGAAATAAAAGTTGTTGAATTTTAAGAAACTCGAAATTGAGTATTCAAACAAGTAAATTAAGTGAATTTTGTCTTAAGATGCCTGCATAAAAATGGAATTACGAAGTTATGTTTTTTTATGCAGATTTTCAGCCCGTCTTTATCTAACATAATTACTAGTAATAACTGTAAGTATATTCCAAAGTCTCTATAATTATTAGAAAATTATAGAGACTTTGAATACACTTCAAACTTTTCCAATTATATATCTTTCGTTATTTTAAAGTTTAATTTAGCAAAAACGAGCTAAAGGCCTCTACAATTTTATTGGCGTTCCCCTTTTCTTTGTAATTATATTCATGAAAAAACAAGCTACTAATAAATTTAGTAATAGTTTTTGCATGTTAAGTATATTTTAAATTTATTTTTTATTTTTATGTCTAAGTATTTTAATTTTGCTAATAAATATCAAATTATTAACAAACACTTTCTTAAAAATAAAAATAAACAATAAATTCAAGGCTAATGAGAGTCAAGGGTAATAAAAGTGCCAGAGATTAAATTCAAATCTCAAAAAGTGATTTTTATAATGTACATATAATCTTCTTCATTAAACGTTTCGGCTTTCTTTGGAGTCATCCTCAGTAATGATACATCTCTTAAATCATTATTATTGATCCTTCCGTTAAAAGTAAGTCCACTATCAAGATCACAACTGCAGTGGAATCTCAAACGGGAAGTTCAACATTTAAATGAAGTTTTGGAAGTTTCCATTAACAACTAACGTCAAATAATTTTTTAATATTTAAACAATTTTCAACTTATTATCAATTTTGATAGTGATTAAAATTTCAACTGTATTGCTCAGATAGTCAGACGGTCAGACGGTCTAAAACAATTTTATATTTAAAATATATATTTTATAAATAAAGATAATAAAGCAGTTATTTAGTATTTATTATTTTCAAAAAACTTTTCCTATTACTTATTCCTTATTTAATATTTTAAATCAGTTTTTAGAAGCTAAAGTTTCGTATTAACTGGTATAGTATTTGTCGCAAATATGTTTCAAAAAGAATAATTATGTAAAGAAAAGCGGCATGGCTATCTACCTACAAGAGCGAATCGGTAAGTGAATGACTACGCGATGAGCAGTAACTGGCGCGTGAACTGCGAAAACATGATCACGCATTGCCCATCCGCCCTACCGCATACCAAAAAATATCCCAAAGCTGCCATTAGTCCGGACTTTTCTGGATTTGTTCCAATTTTTGGAGGCGAAAAGCGTCTGGTTTTTTATGATTTTTCATTGTACTCGTAAATTTTGGCTTAAATTTTTTAAAACTCCGAATGCTCATACACCGAATTATTAAAGATAGCACAGTAATTTTTTTAGTATATCAGCTCATAATGGTTACGTGAAAAGGATGTTTTCACTAATTATACAACAATGGACGAAAGAAAGAAATTCGTTGGAATCTACTGTCTCCTCACTGATTAAAATAAGATATAATTTTAAAGATATAAGTTGTGTCGATTTATATAAATATCTATAAATTTCTGTTCAGCAAGAAAGATATTTTAAAAGCAATAGAAAAGGTTGAAAAACACAAGACTGAAAACGAAAATAACTAGATCTTATAATTTAGTTAACATTATAATTTTAAAGATTTTCCTTATTTTAATTAAGATGACTTATTTTTGTTATAGAGACGGATAATATTTATTTCTGTTAATTTAGCGTTCAGTAAAAAGTTTTAATACAATATAAAAATATTAAATATTGTATTAAATAGGCAAAATTTATGAAAATTTGAGAAAATTGATATCAACATAAAAAAATATTTCCGGGTTTTATTAGTTTATATTTAGTTATAAAATCCAGGGATTTTTAGAACTCAATGTCCATGGTTAGTGATTTTACAGATGGCAGCTCTATCCATAAGTAATCATTAGAATTTAGAATTTATCATATAATAATGGATATATTAAAAGGGACTGTTATACCTACACTGAACATAATATCACGTTCTCTTCTACATATTATAATTTCAAAGTTTATCAACTTTATTACAGAATGTATGATTACTTTGTAACTTTAAACCGTAATTTTGATTTTTAATATGCATTATTTCTAATAATAAGTATTCATTAAAATAAATTTCTTTATTAAGGTTTTGTATTATCTCAGTAAAAATTGTAAGAAAATTGTAGACGAAGATTTGTAAAATCTACCAAAAAATTATCTAAATATGATTAAAAATTTACAATTTCTAATATAATATATTTTTAATTATATTTATGTAATTTAAGTAATTTTCCAGTTATAAACATGTAATTTTCATGTAAAATTACATGCATTTTTTTCAGTATATCAACCATTGTTTGTGTTTTGTTTCTTCTAATATGATTCCTTCGTTCATTAATTCTTTTTCTTTTTTTTAGTATTCTATGCGTTTCATCAAACACATAATGCTTCATATGTAGTTTTTATAATTAATTTTGTAAATAAAAGTTTGAGTGAAGAAAAGTGAGCAAAATATCTTTATGTACTTTGATGTATCTGTTTAAATTATTAACTTCAACAAAAACTAATTTTAAGTTAGAAACGTTATTAAAAAAATAAAATATAATTCAAATTTCAATATTTCATATTTTCGCGACATAAGTTATAGTAAAATAAATAAATTTGAAAATTTACTTGACATTATTAAGACAGTAAAATTTTGATAATAACCTTCTTTAATGATAGAAAGGAAAATAGCTATTATTTAATAAAATATTAATTATAAAATTGAAAAATTTGTTGTGGATTTTAGAATTTAATAAAAATAAAATATTAATCAATATAGTAAATATCATCAATTATTTAATATTATCATGCCTTTTTTTATGAATAATATAAAGATGAAAGTAAAATTTAAACGATCCAAGAATGTCGATTCGTGATATTAATCAAGTATCAAATGGCTTTCTTTCTTAAGGATATATTAGACA